ACAGTTCCCATCATGTAGGGTCATTGCAAATCCCATCATCCAGGGTCACTACAACTCCCATTGTCCAGAATCACAGGTCCCATCATTCAGAGTCACTGCTCTCACCGCCCAGGGTCATTACAACTCCCATTATCCAGGACCCCATCTCCTACAATCAAGGGTCACTACAACTCCCATAGCTCAGGGTCACTACAATTCCCATCCTTGAGATTCGTTACATCTCCCACCTTCCAGGGTCACTATAACTCCCATCGTCGAGGGTCAAAATCCCCATCATCAAGGGTCACTACAACTCCCATTGTCTAGGGTCACTACAACCCCCATTCTCGAGGTTCACTACAACTCCCACCTTCCAGAGTCACTACAACTCCCATTGTCTAGTATCACAACTCCCATCATGGAGAGTTACTACTCCCACCGCCCAGGGTCATTACAACTCTCATTATCCAGGACCCCATGTCCCACAATCAAGGGCCACTACAACTCCTATACCTCAGGGTCACTACAATCCCCATCCTCGAAGTTCGCTACATCACCCACCTTCCAGGGACACTATAACTCCCATCGTCGAGGATTAAAATCCCCATCATCAAGGGTCACTACAACTCCCGTTGTCCAGGGTCACTACAACCCCCATCCTCGAGGTTCACTACAACTCCCACCTTCCAGAGTCACTACAACTTCCATTGTCCAGAATCACAACTCCCATCATTGAGTGTACTAATATATTATATTATAATATAATATTTAATAATATATATTTACTATATTATTATATTATTTACAGTTATAAATTAGTATTTTATATTATTGTGTTCTATATATTATATTATTAAATTATTATTATTTTACTATTCAGTCTATTTTTTAATAGTAACTCTCAAGCAACCAGCAGCTATATTCATGCAGCACCAATCTATCCCATATATGTCTGTTAATTGAGAGTCTTTGGAGAAGGAAAGCATCCGGAAAGGGTCAACGTGTGGTTTCCTTGTCATCGCGCATCTCTCAATGCCTTTATGGAGATTCAGCGAAGCGTCTGCAATGTGCAAGTGCCAAGTTTCGGAAAGCGTTCCAAAATGTCATTGCAAAGCATGAGATGTTTCGCACGTTTGGTTTCGGACTCAAATCACCTTATCGAACAAGGCCTTGGTTTGTTTCCTGTTTTAGATGCATTTAGATGCATCTGACTCATAAATATACATAATAATAACAACAATAATAAACAGAATAAACATAAAGATAAACATAATACTAATAATATAAATATAATAATAATAAAGCCAAAATAAACAACAACAACAACAACAACAAAATAATAATAATAATAATAATAATAATAATAATAATAATATGTGTGAGTGCAGTGCCTCAAGACCTTGGCCTGCACTTAAAAACAATCAACGCTGACAAAATTACCATCGGTCAGCTGCAAAAGGCCACCCTACTGGGTTCTGCACGCATTATTCGCCAATACATCACACAGTCTTAGGGGGTCCCAGTGGTGATCGGCACACTGGGTGCAGTGCCTCAAGACCTTGGCCTGCACTTAAAAACAATCAACGCTGACAAAATTACCATCGGTCAGTTGCAAAAGGCCACCCTACTGGGTTCTGCATGCATTATTCGCCAATACATCACACAGTCTTAGGGGGTCCCAGTGGTGATTGGCACACTGGGTGCAGTGCCTCAAGACCTTGGCCTGCACTTAAAAGCAATCAACGCTGACAAAATTACCATCGGTCAGCTGGAAAAGGCCACCCTACTGGGATTTGCACGCAGTATTCGCCGATACATCACACAGTCCTAGGTGTCCCAGTGGTGATTGGCACACTGGGTGCAGTGCCTCAAGAACTTGGCCTGCTCTTAAAAACAATCAACACTGAGATAATTACCATCAGACAGCTGCAAAAGGCCACCCTACTGGGATCTGCACGCATTATTCGCCGATACATCACACAGTCCTAGGTGGTCCCAGTAGTGATCGGCACCTGGGTGCAGTGCCTCAAGACTTTGGCCTGCACTTAAAAACAATAAACACTGACGAAATTACCATCCATCAGTTGCAAAAGGTCACCCTACTGGGTTCTGCATATATTATTCGCCGATACATCACACAGTCCTAGGTGGTCCCAGTGGTGATCGGCACACTGGGTGCAGTGCCTCAAGACCTTGGCCTGCACTTAAAAACAATCAACACTGACAAAATTATCATCGGTCAGCTGCCTATCAAATAATAATCATACCATGTCCATAGGAATGGGTTTGAGTGGCGATTCTGGAGAGCTGGGTGCGAATCTCCTTGAAAACCTCGGTTTGTCTTCAGGTGAGTCACACTGTCTCAGCCTCAGACCAGTTCACCTGAAGGTCACCGTCAAGCCAGAAAGGCCTCGGAGGCACACAACGCCCAGGCAAATCACCGAACGCAGGGCTACAATTACGCTGACAATTCCCGTCACTTTTGATTCACAGTCCATTAAGAGATGAATGACAGCAGGATCCGTCCTCCGTCCGGAAATGAGCGATGGATGAGAACCCATTCAGGGACCATCCTGGGATGCAAATTAAAGGAAGACTCAGAGACAAGCCCAAGATGTGGGCTCGCTCTTCAAAACAGTGGTTGGGAGACGCTGGGAGTTGTAGTTTTCCATATTCTCTCCTTCACTCTTGTTTTTTTACTTCTCTTTTCGCCTCTTTTATTCCCTTGCTTTCATTTCTATCCTTCTCTCTCTCTCTCTCTCTCTCTCTATTTCCTTCCTTCTTTATTGCTCTCCTTCTTCCTATTTCTTCTCTTTCTTTCCTTCTCTTTCTTTCCTTCTCACATCATTTCATTCTTTATCTCTCCTGCTCTTCCCTTTTTTCCTTCTTTCTTTCTTTCTTTTCTTTCTTTCTTTTTCTTTTTTCTTTCTCGTTCTCTCCTTCATTCTCTCATTTTTCCTTCCCTTTATTTTTCCTTCCATCCCTTTCTCTCTTTCCTCCTCTCCCTTTCTCGTTCCCTCATTCATTCCCTCCTTTCCGTCTCTATTGTTTTCCTTCTATCCCTCTTTTAACATTTCTTTCCCTCCTCCTCTCTATTTCTTTCCTACTCTTTTTCTTCTCCTGCTTTCTCGTTCTCTCCTTCATTCTCTCTTTTTTCCTTTCCCTCTCTTTATTGTATTCCTTCTATCCCCCTTTCTCTATTTCTTTCCTTCTCTTTTTCTTCTCCTGCTTTCTCGTTCTCTCCTTCATTCTCTCTTTTTTCCTTTCCCTCTCTTTATCGTTTCCCTTCTGTCCCCTTCCCCCTCATTTTCTATTTCTCTCCTTCTTCCTCCCTTTCCTTCTCTCTTTCTTTTTTCCTCCTTTCTTGTTCTCTCCTTCATTCCCTTCTTTTTCCATTTCCTCTATTGTTTTCCTTCTGTCCCTCTTTCTCTTTATATTTTCCTTTCTCCTCTTTCCTTCTTTCGTTCCTTCTCCCGCTTTCTCATTCTCTCCTTCATTTTCTCATTTTCCCTTTCCCTCTCTTTATTGTCTCCCTTCTATCGCTATCTCTCTCTCATTCTCTATTTATTTCCTTCTATTCTATTCTATTCTATTCTATTCTATTCTATTCTATTCTATTCTATTCTATTCTATTCTATTCTATTCTATTCTATTATTTCTATTAGTTATCTCTTTCTTTCCCTCTCTCTTTCGGTCCTTCTCCCACTTTCTCATTTTCTCCTTCATTCTCTCCTTTTCCCTTTCATTTCCCTCTTTTTTCTTCTATCCCTCTTTCTCTCCCATTCTCTATTTCTTTGCTTCTCCTCCTTGCCTTCTTATTTCTCTTCCTCTCTCTTTCGTTCCTTCTCCTGCTTTCTCATTCTCTCCTTCATTCTCTCTCTTTTCCTTTCCCTCATTTTATTGTTTTCTTCTGTCTCTCTTTCCCTCATTCTCTATTTCTTTCCTCCTCTCTTTCTTCTCTCGCTTTCCTGTTCTCTCTTTCACTTCTCTCCTGTTCTCTCCTTCACTTTCTCATTTTCATTTCCATCTTTTATTGTTTTCCTTCTATCCCTCTTTCTCTAGTTATCTCTTTCTTTCCTCCTCTCTTGCATTCCTTCTCCCTAGTTCTCGTTCTCTGCTTTGTTCCCTTCTTTTTCTCTTGTCTTTCTTTCCTCCTCTCTCGCATTCCTTCTCCCTCTTTCTCGTTCTCTCCTTCGTTCCTTTCTTTTTCTCCTGTTATCTCTTTCTTTCCTCCTCTCTCGCGTTCTTTCTCCCTCTTTCTCGCTCTCTCCTTCGTTCCCTTCTTTTTCTCTTGCTATCTTTCTTTCCTCCTCTCTCGCATTCCTTCTCCCTCTTTCTCGTTCTCTCCTTCGTTCCTTTCTTTTTCTCCTGTTATCTCTTTCTTTCCTCCTCTCTTGCGTTCCTTCTCCTTCTTTCTTGTTCTCTCCTTCGTTTCCTTCTTTTTCTCTTGCTATCTTTCTTTCCTTCCCTCTTGCGTTCCTTCTCCCCCTTTCTCGTTCTCTCCTTCGTTCCCTTCTTTTTCTCTTTTTCTCTTTCTCTCTCTCTTGCATTCCTTCTCCCTCTTTCTCTCCTTCGTTCCCTTCTTTTCCTCTTATTATCTTTCTTTCCTTCTCTCTTGCGTTCCTTCTCCCTCTGTCTCGTTCTCTCCTTTGTTCCCTTCTTTTTCTCTCGTTACCTTTCTTTCCTCCTCTCTTGCGTTCCTTCTTCCTCTTTCTCGTTTTCTTCTTCATTCTCTACTTTTTGCTTCCTTCTCTTCACTGTTTCCCTTCTATCTTTCTTTCTCTCTCTCATTCTGCATTTTCCTCTCTCTCTCTCTCTCTCATTCTGTATTTTCCTCTCTCTCTCACCTGTGTCCCAGGTGAAGGCAAAGGCCCATTTCCTTCTTCCCGGACACCCTTTCTGCGTGAAGCCCTTGCCCTTGTCTTGGGGGGAAGTGGCCTCGGGAGGCCCAGCCTTTGCAAACAAACCAGGATGTGCCAAAGGGGAGTTACCTGCGGCCTTTGTGGCTAGAAAAGGGGAGGTAGGGACACATCCAGTGACAAAGGCAGGAAGCCCAGAAGCAGGTGGATCGGCTGAGCCAAGACCCACAAGGAGGCCACCTTCGCCTTCGCAGGCTGCAGATCCGGTCACTCCACCCCTCTCCTGCCACTCGGCTCCAAAGGTAAGTGAAGGTGGCACAACACAGAGTGATGGATGCAAAGTGCAGGAAAGAGATCCCACCTGAACATTGATAAGAACAGATAGGAAGAGTTATATACTTCCTTGAGAATCCAATGCAGTCTCCTTCTCTAGATGGCCATCTGTCAAGGGGGTTTATTTTGAGAGTCCAAAGAAGTCTCCTTCTCTAGATGGACATCTGTTGCGAGGGTATACTTCCTCGAGAGTCCAATGGCGCTTCCTTCTCTAGAAGGACATCTGTCAAGTGGGTTTACTTCCTTGAGAGTGCAATGGAGTCTCCATCTCTAGATGGTCATCTGTCAAGAGGGTTTCCTTCATTGAGCATCCAAAGGAGTCTCCTTCTCTAGAGGGACATCTGTCGAGAGCGTTTACTTCCTTGAGAGTCCAATGGAGTCTTCTTCTCCGGATGGACATCTGGCGAGAGGGTTTCCTTCCTTGAGAGTCCAACAGAGTCTCCTTCTCTAGATGGATATCTGTTGAGAGGGTTTACTTACTCAAGAGTCCAATGGTGCCTCCTTTTCTAGAAGGACATCTGTCAAGTGGGTTTATTTCCTTGAGAGTCCAATGGAGTCTCCTTCTCTAGATGGCCATCTGTTGGGAGGGTTTACTTCCTTGAGAGTCCAATTGATTGTCCTTCTCTGGATGGCCATCTGTTGAGAGGGTTTACTTCCTTGAGAGTCCAACAGAGTCTCTCTAGATGGATATCAGTCAAGAGGGTTTGCTTCCTTGAGAGTCCAATGGGATCTCCTTCACTGGAGGACCATCTGTCAAGAGGGTTTCCTTCCTTGAGCGTCCAATGGAGTCTCCTTCTCCAGATGGCCATTTGTTGAGAGGGTTTTCTTCCTTAAGAATCCAATACTTCTCTGGATGGCCATCTGTCAAGAGGGTTTACTTCCTTGAGAGTCCAATAGGATCTCCTTCTCTGGATGGCTATCTGTCAAGAGGGTTTCCTTCCTTGAGCATCCAACTGAATCTCCTTCTCTAGAGGGACATCTGTCGAGACGGTTCACTTCCTTGAGTGTCCAACAGAGTCTCCTTCTCTAGATGGACATCTGTAGGGAGAGTTTAAATGACATCTTCCTGCAAAGCATGGGGTTGGACTGGATGGGGTCACTTCTGTGATTCTTGGAAGGTGGCCAGACGTTTCTCTCTCTCTCTCTCTCTCTCTATTTCCTTCTTTCTTTCTCTCTCTCTCTCCTGATGCTAGGTTTGATGGCCCCTTGGTGGAGCGTCCATCACCTGTATAGATGGGAGTACGAATTGCTGGGAAGCGATGGTGAGAGAGGGACACCATATTTGAGTCATATGTGGATATGAGGCAACAGTGCGATGCAGTGGCAAAAAAGACCAATGCGATTCTACTCTCTCTCTCTCTCTGTATATAATATAGGATATACATGAGTGAAATAATATATATGGAAGGGATCTCAGAGTCTTAGCAGACACCTTGCTCAACATGAGCCAAGAGTGTGATACGGTAGCGAAAAAGGTCAATGCGATTCTTATATCTCTATATATGCCTCAATGTGAGCCGAGAGTGTGATACAGCAGCGAAAAAGGCCAATGCGATTCTAGGCTATATCAATGCACACACACAAATATAGGATATACATCAGTGAAACAATATATATCTATATGGGAGGGACCTAAGAATCTTAGGAGACCCCAAGCTGAACTTGAGCCGAGAGTGTGATACGGCAGCGAAAAAGGCCAATGCGATTCTTGGCTATATCTATATATCTATATATTTATCTATATCTATATATCTATACTGTATCTATAATATAGGATATACATGATTGAAACAATATCTATATATCTATCTATATGTATATATGTATGCATGTATGTGTGTGTGTATATATATATATATCTCAGTAGATATTGTTTCACTCAGGTATATACTACCTACCTATCTACCTATCTATCTATCTATCTATCTATCTATCTATCTATCTATCTATCTATCTATCCATCCATCCATCCATCCATCCATCCATCCATCCATCTATCTATCTATCTATCTATCTATCTATCTATGGCTCCTAGAATTGCATTGCCCTTTTTTGCAGCACCAGATCATGTCAGCTTGAGTCTCTATATATATATATATATATATATATATATATATATATATATGAACCTCTCTCTCTCTCTCTCTCTCTCTATATATATATATACATTCACTCACTCTCACACACACATATATAGGGATATATATATATATATATATATATATATATATCTGAACCTATATATAACTGAACCTCTATATATATGAACCTCTATCTCTCTCTCTCTTTCTCTCTCTCTCTCTCTCTATATATATATATAGGTTCACTCTCACACACATATAGGAACCTATATATATATATACACACACACACACACACACACACACACACACACCTATATATATCGGAACCTATATATATCAGAACCTATATATGTATATATGAACCTCTCTCTCTCTCTTTCTATATATATATATATAGATAGATAGATAGATAGATAGATATAGATATAGATATAGATAGGTTCACACACACACACACACATATATAGGAACCTCTCTCTCTCTCTCTCTCTCTCTCTCTCTATATATATATATATGAACCTATATATATATATATATGAACCTACCTCTCTCTCTCTCTCTCTCTCTCTCTCTCTCTATATATATATATATATATATATATCAGTTCACTCTCACACACACATATATAGGAACATGGCATATATGAACCTAAGAGTCCTAGAAGACCACAAGCTGAACTTGAGCCAACAGTGTGATGCAGCAGCGAGAAAGACCAATGCAATTATAGGCTATATACATTTATATACATAGAGAGAGAGAGAGAATGTAAAGGAGAATGTTTGGAATATTTGAGGAGGGTGTCTAGTCAAAAGGCTGCAACTCGGAAGAGGCGTAGCGAAGGGAACGCCGCGTGACGTCCGTCAGAAAATTGGCACCGAAAGGAAAAGTCAGTCCTGGTTTAATGTTTACTTATGGCGCTGTCAGTTTGCCAAGTTAGGTCACGGTGTGTTTGCAGAAAGAGAGGCATTCCAGGAAATAAAAGAACAGGAATAGGCCAACTTCAGCCCTCCAGGTGTTTTGGACTGCAACTCCCACAATTCCTAACCGCCTACCGGCGGTTAGGAATTGTGGGAGTTGCAGTCCAAAACATCTGGAGGACCCACGTTGGCCCAGACCTGGGTGAGAAGACATTTTGCTTTGGGTGCTAAGCAGGGCTGACCCTGATCAACAGGGCTGACCCCAAACGAAGAAGAAAGGGGCTAAACTACCTTGGATAGAGAGGGAAAAGGAAGGAAGGAATATAGTGAGAAAGAGAAAGAAAAGCAAAGCAAGAGAAGGAAAGAGAAAACCAGAGGAAGCGAGAGAAGGAAAGGAAGGAAGGAAGGAAGGAAGGAAGGAAGGAAGGAAGGAAGGAAGGAAGGAAGGAAAAAGGAAAAAGGAAAAAGGAAGGAAGGAATATAGTGAGAAAGAGAAAGAAAAGCAAAGCAAGAGAAGGAAAGAGAAAACCAGAGGAAGCGAGAGAAGGAAAGGAAGGAAGGAAGGAAGGAAGGAAGGAAGGAAGGAAGGAAGGAAGGAAGGAAGGAAAAAGGAAGGAAGGAATATAGTGAGAAAGAGAAAGAAAAGCAAAGCAAGAGAAGGAAAGATAGAACTAGAGGAAGGGAGAGAAGGAAAGGAAGGAAGGAAGGAAGGAAGGAAGGAAGGAAGGAAGGAAGGAAGGAAGGAAGGAAGGAAGGAAAAAGGAAGGGAGGGAGGGAAGGAATATAGTGAGAAAGAGAAAGAAAAGCAAAGCAAGAGAAGGAAAGATAGAACTAGAGGAAGGGAGAGAAGGAAAGAAAGGAAGGAAGGAAGGAAGGAAGGAAGGAAGGAAGGAAGGAAGGAAGAGGACAGGAAAGTACATAAGAGAATGCAAAAGAAGAAGGAAGGAAGGAAGGAAGGAAGGAAGGAAGGAAGGAAGGAAAGAAGGAAGGAAGGAGAAAGGAAGGAAGGAAAAAGGGAGGAAGGAAGGAAGGAAGGAGAAAGAAAGAAAAGCAAGAGAAGGAAAGATAAAACTAGAGGAAGGAGAGAGAAGGAAAGAAAGAAGGAAGGAAGGAGGAGAAGAGGAAGGAAAGGAATAAGAGAATGAAAAGAAGAAGGAGGAAGGAAGAAGGAAGGAAGGAAGGAGGAAGGAAGGAAGGAAGGAGAAAGGAAGGGAAAAAGGAAGGAGGAGGAGGAAGGAAGGAATATAGTGAGAAAGAGAAAGAAAAGCAAAGCAAGAGAAGGAAAGATAGAAACTAGAGGAAGGGAGAGAAGGAAAGAAAGGAAAAGGAAGGAAGGAGGAGAGGAAGGAAGTAGGAAGCAAAGAGGAAGGAAGGAAGGAAGGAAGGAAGGAAGGAAGGAAGGAAAGAAGGAAGAAATAGCATGAGAAAGACAAAGAAAAGCAAAGCAAGAGATGGAAAGAGAAAATCAGAGAAAGGGAGAGAAGGAAAGAAAGAACGGAAGGAAGGAATGTAGAACGGGAAGAAGAGGACAGGAAAGGTGTATAAGAGCATGCAAAAGTGGAAGGAAGGAAGGAAGGAAGGAAGGAAGGAAGGAAGGAAGGAAGGAAGGAAAGAAGGAAGGAAGGAAGGAAGGAAGGAAGGAAGGAGGGAGGGAGGGAGGAAAGGAGGAGAGGAAAGAAAAAGAATCAGAGAGAGAGAGAGAAGGAAAGAAATAGGAGGAAGGAAAGAGACAGAGAATAGAGAGAAAACCAGGGAAAGGGAGAGAAGGAAAGAAAAAGAAAAAGGAAAAGAAGGGGAGAAATAAGAGAGAGAGAAGGAAAGGAAGAGAGAATGGCTTTGCGGCCCAGGTGATGTTTATTTCCCTCCCCGCAGTGAATGCCATTCCACCCACAATAATGTCAAGAGGCCCTGGTCTAATACTTCTAATATTTCAGGAGCAAACCTGGCCATCATGTCACAATCCATCAAAAAAGCGATAGATTTGATCAAGACGACACCTTTGGGCGGAGAGAGAGAAAGAGGTCGTGCCATAAAGGTGCGCAAACAACCCTGAACTCCACCAGCGATGGAAATGAACTCCCACAACCAACAGAAAGTACTGGAAACTTTTGGTGGGCATTAACCTTGAGTTTGGGAGTTGTAGTTCACCTACATCCAGAGAGCATTGTGGACTCAAACAATGATGGATCTGGACCAAACTTGACATCAATACTCAATATGCCCCAAAGTGAACACTGGTGGAGTTTGGGGAAAATAGACCTTGACCTTTGGGAGTTGTAGTTGCTGGGATTTATAGTTCACCTACAATCAAAGAGCATTCTGAACTCTACCAACGATGGAATTGAACCAAACTTGGCACACAGAACTCCCACGACCAACAGAAAATACTGGAAGAGTTTGGTGGGCATTGACCTTGAGTTTGGGAATTGTAGTTCACCTACATCCAGAGAGCACTGTGGACCCAAACAATGATGGATCTGGACCAAACTTGGCACGAATACTCCATATGCCCAGTTGTCCATAGACGCCTCCAAGGTCATGTGGCCGACTCTATATCTCCCATGTCGTTGAGCCATGGGGATTAAACTGCATTAATTCCCCAGTGTAGATGCAGGAGCTGGGTTGAATGGAAGGAGGTGGTGAACTTCCTCAGCAATGAACCCGTTCAGAATGTGAAAAGCTAGATCCGGCTTCTATTGTTGGCACGCTATTTCTGGTTTGACGAGATCCCTTCTGCGATTAGATCTTCAGCCAACCTTTGAAAAATCAATCATTCTCTTAATCGCAGACGTTTCAGCAACAAGAACAACACAATGCGACACATCATCAAAACGGAAAAACAATAAAACACCTCTCTCTCTCTCTCTCTCTCTCTCTCTCTATATATATATATATATATATATTAGTGTGTGTGTGTGTATATATATATATCGGTTTATTGGCTTTCTGTTTTTCTGTTTATATAGCTACACACACACAATATTATATTATTGTGTGTGTGTGTATGTATATATAATATTGGTTTTATTGGCTTTCCATTTTTCTGGTGTGTGTATATATACACATGCACGCACACTGTTATATTACTCTGTGTGTGTCTATATATATAGATATAAATATATTATTGTGTGTGTGTGTCTATAGGTTTAATTGGCTTTCTGTTTTTCTGTATATATAGCTGTATTTATACACACAATATTATATTATTATATTATTATATTACTATATTATTGTGTGTGTGTGTGTCAGTTTCATTGGCTTTACTTTTTTCTGATTTGTCACATTTTGTTGTTTTTGCCAATATATAATATTATATTACTTGATTTTTTGTGTATATGTATAATATTATTGTGTATGTGTGTATAATATTATTGTGAGTGTATATTATATTGTGTTTGTGTGTGTGTGTATCAGTTTTACTGGCTTACTGTTTTTTCTGATAATTGCTGCATTTTGTTGTTGTTGCCAATATATAATATTATATCATTTTGTGTGTATATGTATAATATTATTGTGTGTGTGTGTGTATAATATTATTGTGAGTGCATATTATATTGTGTGTGTATGTGTGTATCAGTTTTACTGGCTTACTGTTTTTCTGATAATTGTTGCATTTTGTTGTTGTTGCCAATATATAATATTATATTACATGATTTTGTGTGTATATGTATAATATTATTGTGTGTGTGTGTATAATACTATTTTGAGTGCATATTATATTGTGTGTGTGTGTATCAGTTTTACTGGCTTACTGTTTTTCTGATAATTGTTGCATTTTGTTGTTGTGGCCAAGATATAATATTATATTATATGATTTTGTGTGTGTGTGTGTGTGTGTGTATAAATAATATTAGTGTGCGTGTATATATATATATATATAATTGTGTGTGTCTGTGTGTATGCATATATATATATATATATATATATATATATATATATATATATATATGCATATATAATTGTGTGTGTGTGTATCAGTTTTATTGGCTTTACTTTTTTTATTTGTCACATTTTGTTGTTGTTGCCAAAATATAATATTATATTATATAATTGTGTGTGTATATATATAAATAATATTAGTGTGTGTGTATGTGTGTGTGTATAAATAATATTAGTGTGTGTATGTGTGTATATATATAAATAATATTAGTGTGTGTGTGTGTGTGTGTGTATATATATATATATATGGCGTGTGTGTATCGGTTTTATTGGCTTTACTTTTTTCTCATTTGTCACATTTTGTTGTTGTTGCCAAGATATAATATTATATTATATGATTTTGTGTGTGTGTGTGTATATATATATTGTGTGTGTGTCAGTTTTATTGGCTTTCTGTTTTTCTGATAACTTTCGCATTTTCTTGTTGCTGCTGATATTATATCATTGTGTGTGTGTATAATTTTATTATTGTGTGTATATAGATATAGATATATAGATATATATAATTGAATGCAATCAACAGACCCAAGAACATACCAGAGTTATGGAACAGAACGAGCAACGAGCTGTTGATCCTCATTTAATTAACCTGCAAAGATGCAAAACTCAACAATTGGGGGGAAGCATCTTTACTGTCAAATTAATCCAGTTTGTTACCACTTTAATCGCTATGGTTCAAAGGCATGGAATTGTGGGAGTTGTAGTTTGGCAGAGAAGGCGAAAGACCTTGTCAAACTACAACTCCCCATATTCCATCAGCGAGAGAAAGTGCATTAATACAACAGCGTAGATGCACCCTCGGAAAGATATGTATGCTACCGAATTCATTCTAATCAGGAACAGATTAGAATGTATGCAGATGACATAGTGCTCGTCTCCCTCTCTCGGTCGGGTCTTAAAACTCTTCTCAAGGCTTTTAGTACCGACTGCCAAGAGGAATATATCTGTCAATAGACTGCACCAAGCGCAACAAGATTGGCGAGAGAAAGTGGTACCAAACTGCATTAATTCAACAGCGTAGATGCACCCTAGGCAAGTATATATATGCCAAGGTTATTCTAATCAGGAACAGAAAGATCTGCATCCTCATGTATGCAGACGATCTCATCTTCGTCTCCCTCTCTCGGTTGGGTCTTTAAAATCTTCTGAAATTGTGTTTTTGCATTTGTAGAGATGGCCTTCAAATGGAACAAATGGCTTCCCCGCATCGCTCTGCTGGTTTTGTGCGCCTTTGCCATCATTGCCCTGGTTCTCAGCCTGGTTGGGATACACAGTGTTGCTCTGCCGCCCGAAAATAAGGTGAGTTTAAAGCACCGACGGCTATCGCAACTGATACTACACATTGGATCGAATCTCAAGTGCATCCACACTGAAGAATTGATGTGGTTTGATCCTGCCTTAATGCATTGACTGTTTCCCCAACAGTATGGACTGGTTTTCGACGCCGGGTCGTCCCACACCTCCCTGTTTGTGTACCAGTGGCCAACGGACAAAGAGAACAACACCGGAGTGGTCAGCCAGACCTTTTCCTGCCACGTCAACGGTCAGTTCTTGCCTTTTTGCAAAATAACATAAAGGAGTATCTAGGACAGGCCTGGGCCAACTGCAAATTTGGACTGCAAATCCCAATTGTGGGAGTTGTAGTCCAAAACACCTAGAGGGCTGAAGTTGACCCATGCCCCCCCCCCCCACACACACATATATATATAGGCACTTGGGATTCTAAGATGCAACACATCAAAGAATTCAGATAAATACAAGATTTCAAATGGGCTGAAACACCTGGCCCGGATGGTTAACTCAGCAGGCCAGGGATTACCCATTTTTCCTAAGCATTTTTCTTGACTTTCCCTAAATTCATTCTGGATTATTTATATGTATTGATTCTGCAGGATCTGGGATCTCATCCTATACCAAGAACCCTACGGAGGCGGGCGCCTCACTCCGGCCATGCCTGGACGAAGCCATGAGGGTGATCCCTCCGGAGAGGCAGCAAGAGGCTCCTGCCTATTTGGGGGCCACCGCTGGCATGCGGCTCCTCAGGTAAGGATGACAGGTGTGCATTTCCTGGTTCCTTTGCCGTAACACCTGGCCTGGGCCAACTTTGACTCTCCAGGTATTTTGGACTGCAAGTCCCACAATTCCTAACAGCCTACCGGAAGTTGCAGTCCAAGACACCTGAAGGGCCAAAGTTGACCCAGGCCAGGTATTGATGCAAAGGAATCATGAAATGCTATATTATTATTATTATTATTATTATTATTATTATTATTATTATTTCTTATTATTGATGATATAAAAGAAGAGAAGCATCCCATTTTGGGGATCATTTGAGGAAAGTTGTGGCACAGTCTTGCAGGAACGCTCCTGCATCCTAAACTCCAAAGCATCCCCCAAATTATTATTATTATTATTATTATTATTATTATTATTATTATTATTAATAATAATAATTTGGGTCCAAATTTCCCTGCAGAAAGCAGAACCCGTCCACTTCAGATCGGATTTTGGAGGAAGTGGGGAAAGCCATCCGGGAATATCCCGTGAGTTTCCGAGGCGCTCGGATCATTTCGGGCGAAGACGAAGGCGCTTACGGGTGGATCACCATCAATTACCTGCTGCATTCGTTCACCCAGGTGAGGCCCGGGATGCGATCCCATTGTGGCTTTGGATATAAAGAACACCACTCAGGTACCCTCACTGATTGACTTTGCCAACTTCATGGCTACTCAATGCTATTCAAGCTTACTAATTACAAGTGTTAATGTGGCAATTAATACCTCCTAAACAGAGGGTGCCTCCAGGCAACAACAGCCAGGCCAGTTCTATGCAGAGTCCCTCACTGATTGACTTTGCCAACTTCATGGCTACTCAGTGCTATTCCAGCTTGCTAATTACAAGTGTGAATGTTGCAATTAATGCCTCCTAAACAGAGGATGCCTCCAGGCAACGACAGTTAGGCTATCTCTATGCAGGGACCCTCTCTGATTGACTTTGCCAACTTCATGGCTACTCAATGCTATTCAAGCTTGCTAATGACAAGTGTTAATGTTGCAATCAATACCTTCCAAACAGAGGGTGCCTCCAGGCAACAACAGCCAGGCCAGTTCTATGCATAGTCCCTCACTGATTGACTTTGCTAACTTCATGGCTACTCTGTGCTATTCAAGCTTGCTAATGACAAGTGTGAATGTTGCAATTAATATCTCCTAAACAGAGGGTGCCTCCAGGCAACAACAGTTAGGCTACCTCTATGCAGGGACCCTCACTGGTTGACTTTGCCAACTTCATGGCTACTCAATGCTGTTCAAGCTTACTCATTGCAATATCTTGTATACACACACCACCACTACTTGCTTCACTATGTTTGTTTGCGCAGTATTCCGCCAAGGACCGGGACTGGGTCCACCCCACATCGGCCGGCCTCTTGGGGGCCTTGGACCTCGGTGGGGCTTCGACCCAGATCAGCTTCCTTCCTACCGAAAGCATCGCCAACCCATTTCGTTTTCGACTCTACGGCTTCGACTACGGCATCTACACCCACAGCTACTTGTGCTACGGGCAGAACGAAGCCCTGAACCAAGTCATCCGGGTTCTCCTCGTAAGTCGCTTTGGGATATTAATAAGAGAATCCTAGAGTTGGAAGGGACCCCCAGAGGTTATCTAGTCCATTCTCGCTTTGGGATATTAATAATAATAGTAGAATTGGGATGATAATAATAATAATAATAATAATAATAATAATAATAATATGATGATGATGATGATGATGATAATAATAATATCCTAGAGTTGGAAGGGACCCCCAAAGGTCATCTAGTCCAATCTCGCTTTGGAATACTAATAATAATAGAATTGGGATAGTAATAATAATAATAATAATAATAATAATAATAATAATAATATAATATGATGATGATGATGATGATGATGATGATGATGATGATGATAATAATAATAATAATAATYATAATAATAATAATAATAATAGAATCCTAGAGTTGGAAGGGACCCCCAAAGGTCATCTAGTCTAATCTCGCTCTGGGATATTAATAATAATAATAGTACTAGGATAATAATAATATATAATATGATGATGATGATGATGATGATAATYATAATAATAATAATAATAATAATAATAATAATAATAATAGAATCCTAGAGTTGGAAGGAACCCCCAAAGGTCATCTAGTCCATTCTTGCTTTGGGATATTAATAATAATAGAATTGGGATAATAATAATATACAATATGATGATGATGATGATGATGATATCCTAGAAAAGGGACCCCCAAAGGTCATCTAGTTCAATCTTGCTTTGGGATATTAATAATAATAATATGATAATAATAATAATATAATATGATAATAATAATAATATCCTAGAGAAGGGACCCCCAAAGGTCATCTAGTCCAATCTCACTTTGGGATATTAATAATAATATAATATGATAATAATAATAATATCCTAGAGAAGGGACCCCCAAAGGTCATCTAGTCCAATCTCGCTTTGGGATAATAATAATAATAATAATAATAATAATAATAATAATAATAATATGATGATGATGATGATGATGATGATGATGATGATAGAATCCTAGAGTTGAAAGGGACCCCCAAAGGTCATCTAGTACAATCTCACTTTGGGATATTAATAACAATGATGATAATAATAACAAAATCCTAGATTTGGAAGGAACCCCAGAGATCATCCAGTCCAGCCGTCATCTGCCATAAAAAGAAGGAAGACAATCCGATTCTTCCCGACAGATGGCCATCTGGCCTATGCTTCAAAAACCTCAAGAGAAGGAGACTCCACAATACTATCCAAGTATTGTCTCATATATATATATATACACACACACACACACACACCAAGAAGACACAATCGGATCCCTCTCGACAGATGGCCATCCATCCCCTGCTTAAAAACCTCAAAGGGAGGAGATGGACTCCCAGGCAGCATATCCCACTGCCAACAATAATAATAGCAATAATAATAGCAATAATAATAACAATAGCAATAATAATAACAACAATAGCAATAATAACAACAATTATAGCAATAATAATAACAATAATAGCAATAATAACAATAATAGCAATAATAATAACAATAATAGCAATAGTAATAGTAGTAATAGTAATAATAGCAGCAATAATAATAGCGATGCTACTACTACTAATAACAACAATAATAGCAATAATAATAGCAATACTAGCAATACTATTATGAATAATAGCAATAATAATAATAATAATACTTCATGGGCAGGGACATGTTTAGACTTGGCTCCCATTTCCATACACACATACACATATACACACAAACATACTATATGCAAATAATGGTTCCAGTCCAAAGCTTTTCATACAAGCGATATTGTTTATTCTATCAATCAACAACCAAAAGATGTAAATCTATATATTCTTGGGAAGGTTATCAGCTGTTTGGTTACACCCGGAAGATAAACTTTCACCCAGCGGTCGCTGCAATCTGGATTTTAGATTAGATTAATGGATTTGTTTCCATTAGAAAAATTCCTTTCTGATTGGAGATAAGGCCCTGAAAGTAAATGCCAGGGAAGGATCACCATCTACACTGTAGAATTAACTCAGTTTGATCCCATATTAACTGCCCAGATTCAATGCTGTGGGATACTAGGAGTTGTAGGTTGCACTATTTGAGTCCTTCTTAGAATAGAAATCTCTCTCTCTCTCTCTAATATGTTATAATAATAAATATAAAATAATAAATACATATATTAATTTAATAAATATAATAATATATAATATTGGTGCATATACTATAATATAAATCAATAATAATAAATGAAACAATAATAAATAAATAAAACATAATATTATATGATACTAGAATATAATATCAACATACTATTATTATATACTATAATGTTTATTTTATATTTATGTTTATATTATACAAATAATATTTGTATTTATTAATATATAATATAAATTGATAATATATATACACATACTATGATAATATATAATAAATATAAAATATATAAAAAATGAAATAATAATAAATACAAATATAAAATATAAAAATAATACTAATATATAATATAAATAAAAATGCTATAATATATTACAATAAATATATAATATCTAATAATAATAAATGAAATATTTATATATAATATAATAATATGAAACAATACTAATATATAATATAAATACACATACTATAATATATTACAATAAATATATAATATCTTATAATAATAAATGAAATAATAATGTATAATATAATAATATGAAACAATACTAATATAAATACACATACTAAAATAATATATAATAATATATATAAAATATATAATCATAATAAATAAATAAAGTTAGAAAATATATTATGAAATGATACTAATATGAATAAAATGCTATAATATAGTACAAAAATATATAGTAATATATGAAATAATACTAATATATAATATAAATATACTATAATAATAAATAATATAATATATATAATAAATGTATTATATTATAAAATATAATGATATGAAATAATAATAAATAAATGAATAAATACAATATTAATATATATAATAAAATGATAATATATAATAATATGTAACAATGATTAATATATAAATATAATAATGTGAAATAATATATAAATACATATTCCATAATTTTATATATAATAAATATATAATAACTGTATAATAATAAATATACAATATATAATTTATTACAATAATAATAATAATAATAATAATAATCCTATTTATGTCTTGTGATTGTGAATGCTTGCTTGGAGATTGTTCCCAGCATTAGATATTTTGCCTTTTATAGCACAATATGTCAGGAACTGAATGTGACCTTTTGCAGGGGTTGAAAAAGCATTAAAATCCATGCTTTATCCCATATATATCACAAACCAATGGGATATGGAAGTCCAATGGAGTAAAGCATCAATATAGCAACTGCAAAGCAATTCAACTGCTCTCCTTAATGTTTGGAGCCATAAAACACATGAAAAATCTCAAGGGACTGAAAAGTTATAGCAGAACTTGGAAAATGCAAGGCTTCCCGTGCTATTTCCACTTTAAAAAGTGCCTTTCCAACTTACTTTGTGAGGAGCAAATCCATCCAAGGCTTGCAATGGAGACCTTGGCAAAGGCAGGTGCTTTGCATCTGCAATCAAGACATGCAAGCAGCAAGGCTGGATTATCCCATGGTGTTTGGGTGCATCTACACTGTGGGATTAATGCAGTTTGATCCCACTTTAACTGCTATGACTCAATGCTATGCGGTCCTGGGAGCTGTAGTGTGCTGAGGCACCAGCACTTTTGGACTATTATTATTATTATTATTATTATTATTATTATTATTATTTGATACACAACAGTAAACAAGTGTTGTATTGGATCACTCCTCAGTGTTTAGGACTGTGTGATGTATCGGTGAATAATGCATACAGATCCGCATAGGGTGGCCTTTTGCAGCGGACAAATGGTCATTTTGTCAGTGCCCACTGTTTTTTAGTGCAGGCCAAGGTCTTGAGGTACTGCACCCAGTGTGCCTATCACCACTGGGACCCCCTTGACTGGCTTGTGCCAGTGTCTTTGCAGTTCCATCTTTAAATTCTTATATTATATAAGCTTCTCCAGTTGCTGCTCATCAATTATTATTATTATTATTATTATTATTATTATTATTATTATTAGATACACAACAAGATGAGTCCACAGCAAACAAGTGTTGTATTGGATCCCATGTTGGACACTTCCCAAGTGTCCAGGACTATATGATGTATCGGCGAATCATGTGTGCAAATCCAAGTAGGGTGGCCTTTTGCAGCTGACAGATGGTCATTTTGTCAGCGCTGATTGTTTTTAAGTGCACGCTAAGGTCTTGAGGCACTGCACCCAAGTTGTAGGTTTTTCTGGGCTATATGGCCATGTTCTAGAGGCATTTTCTCCTGACGTTTCACCTGCATCTATGGCAAGCATCCTCAGAGGTAGTGACATGTGCAGATCTGAGTAGGGTGGCCTTTTGCAGCTGACCGATTATAATTTTGTCAGCGTTGATTGTTTTTTAGTGCAGGCCAAGGTCTTGAGGCACTGCACCCAGTGTGCCAATCACCACTGGGACCACCTTGACTGGCTTGTGCCAGAGTTTTTGCAGTTCCATCTTTAGATTCCCATATTATGTGAGCTTTTCCAGTTGCTGCTCATCAATTATTATTATTATTATTAGATACACAACAAGATGAGTCCACAGCAAACAAGTGTTGTATTGGATCCCACGTCGAACATTTCCCAAGTGTCCAGGACTGTGTGATGTATCAGCAAATAATGTGTGCAGGGTGGCCTTTTGCAGCTGACCGATTGTAATTTTGTCAGCGTTGATTGTTTTTTAGTGCAGGCCAAGGTCTTGAGGCACTGCACCCAGTGTGCCGATCACCACTGAGACCACCTTGACTGGTTTGTGCCAGAGTCTTTGCAGTTCGATCTTTAAATTCTCATATTATGTAAGCTTTTCCAATTGCTGCTTGTCTATTATTACTATTATTATTATTATTATTATTATTATTATTATTATTATTATTATTTCAGGGTCCTGACCTGCCTTTTTCTCCCCCAGAATGACAGCTCCTCTTCATCCACCCTGGATCATCCCTGTTACCCCAAAGGCTATAACGAATCCATGGAGGTGGCTTCCCTCTTCAACTCTTCATGCGCCAACAACCAGACCAAGCCGCCAGACGCTGCCTCAAAAGTGTTCCTGGTGGGCACAGGCAATGCTCGCCTTTGCCGCGAAGCCATCAGGAACATCTTCAACTTCTCCAACTGCAGCCATAACAAATCCTGCGGCTTCAACGGGATCTACCAGCCGAGGGTCGATGGAAAATTCCTGGTATAGTGTCCTAAATTGCTGCTGCTATTATGATTATTATGATTATGATTATATTTATTATTATTCTTATTTTAATATTTCTTCTTGTTATATTCTTCTTGGCCCAAATCTATCATTGGGGGGGGGGGTTCAGAATGCTCTGTGATTGTAGGTGAACTATAAATCCCAGCAACTACAACTCCCAAATGGCAAAATCAATTTTTTTGAGTGAAGGACATACATTGGGTTGTTATGTGTCTTGCGTCCAAATTTGGTGTCAATTCGTCCAGAGGGTTTTGAGTTCTGTTAATCCCACAAACAATCATTACATTTTTATTTATATAGATATTATATCACTTATTTTTATTATATTTCTTTTATTGCTATATTATTATTACTGTTTTTAGACTATGTAATACATTTCCTACCTCCATAATCCTCTCAAGAATCCATTGTTTCTCATTTTGTTTCTGGGTTATAAATGTTATTATTATAGTTCTTATATTATTATTATTATTATTATTATTATTATTATTATTACTCTGAGATGGGAGAATATATAAATTACTGTTTGTTTGCTGATGGGTCTATGGACCATAATAAATACTATTGTTGTATTTATTATTATTGACTCTCCAGTGAACCAGCACTCCTGGAGATTAGTGGATACCAGATAAACATCGTTTCTGTTTGTGGTCCCAAACTACATTTATTCCGTGGTGCGGATGCACCTGAAGCCTCTCATTCATTGCCTAACATTGTCTTGCAGGCCTTTTCTGCCTACTACTATACCTTCAGTTTCCTGAATCTCACCGAGACGCATCCACTGCCTGTCGTCGAAGATGCGATTAATGCCTTTTGCGACCGAACATGGAAGGATGTACGTATCCGGCCTCTATCATATGTCTTGAACCTATATGACTTGCAACACAGCTTCTGGCAGGAAATGTTTGGGTCCTGATGTCTTTCTTTGTTTACATACTCATCCCTTCTATTTTCCAGCTGAATACAAGCTATCCGAAACAAAATTCAACCCGCTTATTAAATTACTGCGCCAGCGCCAACTACATCCTCACCCTGTTGTTGGACGGCTATGGCTTCAGCAACACGAGTTGGGAAAACATCGCCTTCCAGATGCAGGTGAGAGATGCAAACATGTGCCGAACATCCGTCAGTGTTTGGAAATGGCAGCGGGTTGGACTGGATGGCACACGTTGTCTCTTCCAACTCTATCATTATATGATTTCACAGCCGTAGCATGCACACAGCTGTCAACGGCTGTGAAATCATAAAATAATAGAGACCACGCGGGCCATCCAGTCCAACTGAAATCATGGAGGAATTGAAAAGGGTCTGGCCCTGAAGGAGAGACCCTGCGGATCCACCAAAGAGGGCTCGCTACAATGGTGAGCAAAGAGAAGCCCAATTTAAAAGGTTTTTCCTAAGTTCCCAAAAGAAAAGTTGAAGGGAGCGCTACCGAGATGCAAAGCAGCAATATTTCGCCAAGCTAAGCATACAATGTACAAAAATAAAGGCCCTTTTATACATAAAACAGAGCTGCCAGGTTTGAATCTCTCATTCCCCGCCCCTCTGCTGGCTCGACGATGATTGGCTGGCACTCTACAGCTGGGAGGAGGCTTGGCCACCTCCTGAGTGCCTGGGCCAACCACTGGGCTTCTGCTGACTCGAATCAGGAGAGAGGGAGGCGGGAAGAGAGGGAAACAATGGATTCTTGAGAGGATTATGGAGGTAGGAAATGTCCAAGTGACCAGCAAGTCCTAAGGGCCTGTGAGCCAGTCTGGCTATTGTCACTGAGTGGTTGCAATAAACATTGATGTTTGGCGATCCTGCCATAATTTAGATTTTTCAAGTGCTGAGACATAGGAACAATGGGAGAATTTTGGTGGAAGTATCCTCCTGAGTGCCTGGGCCAATTGCTGGGCTTCTGCTGCCTCGGCGTCCTGACGAATCAGGAGAGAGGGAGGTGGGACGAGAGGGAAACAATGGATTTTTGAGAGGATCGTGGAGGTAGGAAATGTCCAAGTGACCAGCGAGTCCTAAGGGCCTGCGAGCCAGTCTGGCTATTGTCACTGAGTGGTTACAATAAACATTGATGTTTGGCCATCCTGCCATAATTCAGATTTTTCCAGTGCTGAGACACTGGGGGGGACTTTGGAACAAAAAGGCAGAAAGGTTACACATTGCAAGGAGGGGAATGGATAAGGAAAACAACCTTAGAACACATGATTATTCAGCAGGTAAAGAGTTCTTTTTAACAGCGGTCCTGGGAGACATAGTTTCTCAGGCTTAGAAAACTGAAAGACTGAAAACATAGTCTTCAGAATCCCTGGGTTGAGTTACGTCCCAAAAGAAGCCAGAGAGCGAGCTCTGAGACAGGGAGGGTGGCAGGAGAGAAATATAATGAGCAGAGAGAGCTTAAACTATCAGAGGCTTTCTAATGGGGGAACCAGCTATCCGGAAAGAGAAGAAAAGAGGAAAGATACATGATGGCTCAGAAAGGCACATTATAGCAAGAGAAGCACAGAGTTCAGGGTAACCAATTTATTGAAGGATCATAAACAGTCTGTAATTAGTTTCCTGATTGTCTGAACATGCTCAGAGCCAAACAATTACACTTTAAGTGACTGCAGCCTTTGGAACTCTCTGCTGCAGGCATGAAGGGAACAAATAATAATTTTGCCCAGGGGGGTTTCATGCAACAATACTTGCTTTTCCTACTTAAGGAGCATTGTTTGCTTCCCTCTTAACTTAAAGAGTCATTGTCTTTTGTAATGTAAACATGTTGTTTTCCACCGAGACTTAATCATTTGTCTCTGCTCATCAGAAACTTTTATTACAGTTCCATCAGTTCAGTCGATTTCCAGGCCTCATTTCTTAGGATAGCATCTCTAAGTTATATAGACCCCAGTCTTACTCCTGTTATGCAATTTTATTCAAACCATACATTATATATTCGTGACAGTCTGGCCAATGTTCGGTTCTCTTCTCCAGGAGTAGGGAGAAAGGATGGTAACGTATTCATGAAGTGTGAATATTTGTGTGTGTGTGTGAATACTGAGTACAATGTAATATACTCTTTGTTTGTGTAACCAATGTAGCTATAGAGTCTGTTGGCTCTTGAATTATGGATGGCAACTCCATGGGCATGATTTGCCACAATGCCCACTCACTTCCTTGGTGATCTTGTGCCTTTTGTTTCTTTCCCATTTTGGCAGGCAGGGAACTCAGACATCGGCTGGACGCTGGGCTATATGCTGAACCTCACCAACATGATCCCCTCGGAGATGCCCCAAACATTGAGAGGCCATGAAGAAGGACCTTGGGTGGCCAGTGTCTTCTTCATCGTGGTCACCTTAGCGCTGGCCATCGTCTTGCTCCTTATAAACTTCTTTCAGTGAAAGAAGGGATCGGCACACATTGAGGACATGGATGCCAAACTGTGTCAGTTCCCGATCCTCTCGTTTCACTGCAAGCAAAGACACTCCTTTGTTGTTAGACTTATGGGGGATGTCCTATCTCCGCAAAGTGGACCTCCATGGCTTCTTACCCAACGGATGCTTCTTTTCTCTTGTTCTTCCAAGCTCTTTTCTCTGCCTCTGAAGATGGAAACCCAGCCAGGGAAACAACTTGAACCAGAGCTTACTATTAATCGATTGTTGGAGCTATATTCCAGGGAAAAAAATCATTCCCAAGACATATGGGTAACTGAGGGGTTGAAATCACTCAGTGCCTAGAGACGAAGGACTAGAAGGACACCTCCAGTCAAGTGAGACAGATGTCATGTCTGGGGTGTCAACACAGAGATAAGCACACACAGCAAAAACCTGACTGTGTGCTTGATCTCTATCTTCTGCCATGACCGTCTGAGTATGAGTAACTAAATAATTTGGAACAATAATAGCCAGTGAACTGTCAAGGGCTCCTCGCTGAAAGACAGTGATTGAAGAAGCACAGAGGCAGGGGAAGAGCAGAGAGGTGCAGCAAAGTGTGCATGTTACAGATGTTGCTCACGTCTGTGACTGCAAATCCAGGGGAATCCTAAGTTCCTGTGACGGCGTGAGTGGTGCCACCTGTTTGTAGAACTTTAAAGTGCAAAGGTTTAAACGGTATAACATCCCCATACTTGCTTACTTTGTAAATGTATAGTTGGATTGATTGGTTATTTATAGCTGTCAATCAATGTTGTTTGCACCAGTTATATTGCTTCCTCAGCCTAATTGCTTGGCTCCACCTCTTCCTCGAGGAGGGCAGAGTTTTTCCTTTTTCATTCTGCCATCAAACTTTCTATCAGATAGAAGTGAGAAAGAGACTTGGCTCTAAAGCCCTTAATTAAGTTACCTCTCATCACCAATTCTAAGGTTTTTACCCTTAGGACTCATTCTTCATGTCCAGATCGCCCTGGACAACGTTGAGGAGACCCAAGCGCCTTCAAACCGGTCCTTTGGCATCAAAAGGAAGACTGTGCATTCAGCATAGGCCATTGGACTGGGGGTTGTGTTTGTTCCGACCTTTACAGCCATTGAGAAAAGAGGGAACAGGAAAAGCTTCTCAGCTGCGAAATCTCCTTGGACCCAAGACAACCAGAGACTGTAATGTATATTTCCTTTACCCCCTTTGAAACTTCCAGCTTATTGCCTTAAAGGGATAACTATTTGTGAAGAATAAAACCTATTTTGAGTTATCTACAGTGTTTTGGTCCTTGGGAGTTCCAGTTCTCTAAAGGAAGGCAAGAAGCAATTCCCTGGGGGAAAGATGTCACGTCTATGTCTCTTTCACTAAGAGTTATAGCCCTTTGGCGCAACAGCATAGTTCCTTTTTGAGGACCCCTGACACTTACTCCCACCAAAAATGTGCCTTCGTCAATCTCATCAAGATCATCATATTATTGATCTACCTTTCAGGGTTGTCACTGCGATCAGGAATCAGGATGCTTTGAAACCCTAGATGCTGCTATTCGTATTATTATTTGGACACTTACCTCCACCACAAACTTGTCTCAGCCTTAAAGAAAACATTACAAACAACAAGAAATGGAGAAACGCTTGTCCCCATTCGTTGATCACAATGCTTTGAGAGACTGAGAACAACCAGAACTTTTCTTCTTCTTCTTGGAGGATCCCTTCAATATATGACTCCGAAAGCAAGGCTGTGCAATGCACAAAGATGGAAAGTGTGAAGGAATGGCAGATTGAGTAGAAATGCATAGATGTAGTTTGAGAAGAGGAAGGTCAAGAGAGACATTGTTCAAAGGCTGGAAACTCCCAACAGACATTTGTTCCATAATAATAATAATAATAATAATAATAATAATAATTGGACAAGTTATTGAAAGAAGGAATTATGTGGCAATTTGGGTGAAAGAAACACAAATGTATATTCATATGTATGTGTGTGTGCTAATGTGTATGTATACGCATGTGTACATAATATGTGTACATAATAATATTAATTTTATTTCTTACTCTCTTGAGATGGGTTACAGCACTGCTAATAAGAAATACTATTATTATTATTATTATTATTATTATTTTACTGACACAAAAGCACAGTATGTCACAGCAAACAAGATCTGTATGCTGGATTTCGTATCACAAAATCACAAGTCGAATTCTTCCCAAGCGTCTAGGACTGTGTGATGTATTATTATTATTATTATTATTATTATTATTATTATTATTATTATTATTATTGGAAACACAATAAGATGAGTCCACAGCAGACAAGGTCACTCTGCTGGCTGTTGTATTGGATCACACGTCAAACACTTCCCAAGTGTCTAGGACTATGTGATGTCTCAGCGAATAATGCATGCTCCCAAACATGTGCTAGGTATGTATATGTGTGTGTGTGTATGTATATGTGTGTGTGTGTGTGTGTGTGTATACATACATACACTAGCCCTTCCCTGCCACATGTTGCTGTGGGTTCAGAATGCTCTGTGATTGTAGGTGAACTATAAATCCCAGCAACTACAACTCCCAAATGTCAAGATTCTATTTTCCCCAAACTCCACCAATGTTCACATTTAGACATATTGTGTATTCTTGTAGAGTTTGGTCCAGATCTATCATTGTTTGAGTCCACAGTGATCTTTGGATGTAGGTGAACTACAACTCCAAAACCAAACCCTTCCAATATTTTCTGTTGGTCATGGGAGAACTGTGTGCCAAGTTTGGTCCAATTCTATTGTCTGTGGGGTTCAGAATGTTCTTTGATTGTAGGTGAACTAGAAATCCCAGCAACTACAACTCCCAAATGACAAAATCAAATTTTTTTGAGTGAAGGACATACATTGGGTTGTTAGGTGTCTTGTGTCCAAATTTGGTGTCAATTCGTCCAGTGGTTTTTGAGTTCTGTTAATCCCACAAACGAACATTACATTTTTATGTATATAGATAGATATATATGTGTGTGTGTGTTGTATAAAATATAGATATATAGGTTTATTTAAAAATATGAAAAGAAAGGAGGAGGAAAAGTGATTTCAATCTACCTTGGTTGGTAAATAGATCTGGAAATCATTTTTCTCTCTCTTTATTCTCTTTCTTTTTTCTCTTTGATCCTTGAACTTCTCGAAATCCACTTTTACTGTTTCGTCTTCATTTCCAGTCCTTGTCTTTTTATAGTTTACTAGCCATCCCCTGCCACGCGTTGCTGTGGCCCACATGTGGGTTTTGTGAGAGAGGTTTGGCCCAATTCTATCGTTGGTGGGGTTCAGAATGCTCTGTGATTGTAGGTGAACTATAAATCCCAGCAACTACAACTCCCAAATTTCAATATTCTATTTTCCCCAAACTCCACCAGTGTTCACATTTAGGCATATGGAGTATTCGTGTAGAGATTAGTCTAGATCCATCATTGTTTGAGTCCACAGTGCTCTCTGGATGTAGGTGAACTACAACTCCCAAACTCAAGGTCAATGCCCACCAAACCCTTCCAGTATTTTCTTTGGCCATGGGAGAACTGTGTGCCAAGTTTGGCTCAATTCCATTGTTGGTGAGGTTGAGAATGCTCTTTGATTGTAGGTGAACTATAAATCCCAACAACTACATCTTCCAAATGTCAAGGTCTATTTTCCCCAAACTCCACCAGTGTTCACATTTGGGCATATTGAGTATTCGTGTAGAGTTTGGTCCAGATCCATCATTGTTTGAGTCCACAGTGCTCTCTGGATGTAGGTGAACTACAACTCCAAAACAAAAGGACACTCCCCACCACTTTTCTTTCTCTTTATTCTTTCTTTTTTCTCTTTGATCCTTGAACTTCTCAAAATCACCTTTTAGCGTCTTGTCTTGATTTCGAGTCCTTGTCGTTTTATATTTGATTTAAAACTTGTGTTTCAAATCACAATTAATATCAAGAAGGGAATGGATTGGGTTGAGGGGCGTCGCGGAAAGGGAACGGCAACACAGGAAACCAACACAATTTATTGGTCATTTGTCGATGTAGAAAAAACAAAACAAAACAGACAACAAGGCACGATCCCCACCCGCCGAAAGATTGTGGAGAGGAGAATGTGCTGGTGAAAAATCCATATATTATAGTATGTACACATCTGGACGCTGTTCTAAATACAGTATGTACACAGCCGCAACAGCTGGAGGAAGTGACACCAAACCGAACCAGATGGAAAAAAAGGGAAGAGGAAAGAGCGCGACTTTATTTGGAGAGGAATCGTATGTGCTCTGGGACAAAATGGCCAAAGTATCCACAGTTTCGAACTTCAAGTAACATGGAAAGAAAACAGGAGTGGCAACGAGGCTCAAGGGGTGCATCTACATCTTCGACTTAACGCAGTTTGGCAGCGCTTTCCAAGATAATAACATCCCTAAAAGATTTCCAAAAAGTAAAAGCAGGTTGTCTTTATGCAGCTTGAGCATCCCTTACGCAAAATACTCCAAAATTGTCCCCATCGGTGGCCGAGACAGTGGCACCGTTCGCTTTTCCGTAGTTCAACGTACTTAATTTCATGCACAAAATGATTACAAATATTGTATCAAAATGACCTATTGCATAAAATGAACGCTGGGTTTCGACTTGGGTCCCCATCTCTGAAGCGTCTCCTTATGAATATGCAAATATATTCAAATCTGGGGGGAAATAATAATCAGAAATCCAAAATAATTCCGGTGCCAAGTGTTCCGGAGACGAAATACTCAACCGGTACAAAGAGAGATTGAATCATAATACAATGATATTGGCGAGAAGAGCCAAACCTGAGCTCTGCCTCTTCTTTGGCTTCCTCTGAAAACGAGATTCAGGCACAGAATAATCTACACAACAGTCCATTTTGGCCATAATTTTCACATAATCATGATAATAGCCACAGTGTTAACTATCCCCATTTGCAGACTAGCAGAGGGTCTTCCTATAAACATTCCTTATATAGTGTGTGAATCGAAACATAAAATCCAGTGTGGAAGAATTCGGACACATCCATACCTTGAGCATCTAGAGCTTTGCCCAAATCCAAAGTATCCCATTCCACATAAGGTCTTTATACTGGGATGAAATGGGAAAGACACCATCTTACCAACACTGTAAAATTAATATCATTTGACACCTCTTTTAGTGTTTATGGAGTTGTGGGAATTGTCGTTGAATGACCTTCACCTTCTCGGAAAAACAACGCCGGTGGCTCACCAAATGACAGCAACCCAGGATTACATACAAGAGGCATTCATTAAAGATTTCCCCTGACCCACTTGTATTTATCACAAAGTTCTGAAACTGCACGTGTGTAATGATATACGTCTCTATAGGTTACGTCCATCAGTGCTGCCTCTGGAAAATCCTGCAAATCTCTTGGGAAGACAAGCGGACAAATGTCAGCATGCTGGAAGAAGCAAAGACCACCAGTATTGAAGTGATGGTCCTCCACCATCAACTCTGCTGGACCGACCACGTTGTCCGGATACCCGACTACCATCTCCCAAAGCAATTGCTCTACTCTGAACTCAAGAACGGAAAACGGAATGTTGGTGGGCAGGAAAAGAGATTGAAAGATGGGCTCAAAGCCAACCTTAAAAACTCTGGCATAGACACTGAGAACTGGGAAGCCCTGGCCCTTGAGCGCTCCAGCTGGAGGTCAGCTGTGACCAGCAGTGCTGCAGAATTTGAAGAGGCACGAATGGAGGGAAACCTCTCTCTTTTGCCCTCAAGCCAACCCCGACCGGGACCGCCTTCCATCTGGAAACCAATGCCCTCATTGCGGGAGAAGATGCAGATCAAGAATTGGGCTCCACAGTCACTTACAGATTCACCGACAGAACACCGACCTTGGAGGACCATCATCCTCGGACTACGAGGGATCGCCTAAGTAAGTAATAGGTTACGTGCCAATTTACAATTTCGTTGCTCTCAGAAAATGGATCAGGGGAAATCTTTCATGAATGCTCCTTGCAGTTGGATCATCAAATGTCTGGATGTCATCGGGGTTTGTGAAAATATTAGCAAATTCACTGAAATATAGTGAAATAATGGAAAACTGAGCTGTTTGTGGGCAATGAAAGCTATGGAACTGTTAACATCAAGAGATGAATTTTCCAGGGTGACTCACTGTTGCCACTGTTGTTCATCATTGCAATAATCCCACAGTCAATAATTCTACGGAAGACAAACCTGGGCTACCAAACAGCAATTAAACATTAAGATGCGGCAGTTAATGTGGTTCTGAACTGCATTAATTCGACAGTGTAGATCAGGCATAGGCAATCTTCGGCCCCCCAGGTGTTTTGGAGGCTGTTAGGAATTATGGGAGTTGAAGTACAAAACCTGGAGGGCCACAAGTTTGCCCATGCCTGGTGTAGATGCACCCCAAGTTAGAACATACGTCGAGAAACAGACAGCAAAGGACCACAAAACTCTCAGTATTTCCAGGAAGGAAGGAAGGAATCCATGTGACAGGCAGTCTTTGGTGCGTAGAAAGATCGGGTCAAAAAGATGTTATCTCAAGTCCAACGGCAAACATTTGTTGTCTATATCAACGCCGTGGTTTGGCACAAGACGAGAGCACATCTGTGCCACGTTGCAAAGGCATTCCCCAGAATCAATGACAGGTTCCTTGTGTGGTCTTCGCCTGGCTTTTCCCCAAGCTACAAACCAATGGCCAGCCTTGTTCCGTCCCTTTTGCGGCTCAAATGCTTCCATCCATTTGCTCGACCAGGAATAAGTGAATGGCTTCGAAGGCCGGGCGATCCTTGATGTCTCGGCTCCAGCACTTCATCATCAAGGAGAAGACCAGGTTCGGACACAGCAGCGGTTGGGACAAGTAAGCCTATAGGAGACAAAGGCGGAGTGAGTTTGACGGGTTGAGCCTATTTATTTTATTTTATATTATTATTATTATTATTATTATTATTATTATTATTATTATTATTATTAAGAGCAATAATAATGCTTAGATGCTTAGACACATCCAATGGCATTGGAGATTAACACTGTATTTAACCAATAGGTAAAGGTAAATGCTTTCCCCTGACATTAAGCCTAGTTGTGTCTGACTCTGGGGGTCGGTGTTCATCTCCATTTCTAAGCTGAAGAGCTGGCGTTGTCCGTAGACGCCTCCTAGGTCATGTGGCCGGCATGACTGCATGGGGTGCCCTTACCTTCCCGCAGAAGCAGTACCTATTGATCTACTCATACTTGCATGTTTTCGAACTGCTAGGTTGGCAGAAGCTGAGGCTAACAGCTGGAGCTCACCCTGCTCCCTGGATTTGAACCGCCAACTTTTTCAGTCAGCAAGTTTCTCAGCTCAGTGGTCTAACCTGTAAACCCATAAATTGGCCAAATAAGGCTCTCCAAAGTCCCTGCATTAGCAGAAAGGTGAGATGATGATGATGATCATCATCACCACCACCATCATCATCATCATCATCATCTTCTCCTGGAAGCTGACCATGGATCTTCACTACAGAACCAAGAGATTTGTAGAAAGGTGTTCTCCCTAGAAATCACTAGGTATGGAAGAAGTTGGCCATGGAGTCACACTGGAGAACCTAGGGATTCCCAAATCTGTGAGTAATCCAGTCCCACAAAGTCAATGCCACAAATGGGGGGTGGGGGAGGTAACTGTAATGTCTATTTCTCCAGTGAACACAAGATGATGGGAACCCACCATACTGATGTTTCCATAAAGCTGGACAGTAAAATTATGGGGAAAGGTTGCTATGGATTGCCCAGGAGATGATGTATCTTTCATACCTGTCGTCCTTGGTCTCGGAAGAACTCCCCTGTATTCTCGATGACCTGCTCGTCTGAGAGCCAACTGTAGGGTTGCTCCTTGCACAGGGTGAACATCTCCCACAGCGTGACCCCGAAAGCCCATGCATCGCTCGCTGTGGTGAACTTGCCCTGCAATGAGAAAGCGGGAAGCCACCGTGATCCAAGAGAAAAGACCACATCTGGTTGAGATCCTTCTCTGTGGGGTCCTCAGCATCCTCTAACCTTGGCTCACATTTAGAGGGCATCTACACTGTAGGGTTAATGCAGTTTGACACCACTTGGGCTGCCGTGGCTCAATGCTATGGAATGGTGGGAGATGTTGTTTGGTGCATACATGAAACTGTGGATAACAGAGACCCTTACTGAAATAATATCAACAACATTAAATGAAGGACATTTGACCCAAGAATACTAGGGTCACACAGGAGGACCCAGAAAATGCCTAGGTATGGTTGGGAGACTTTCCATGATGACCAGGTACATCGTCAACAAAGCACCAGACTCCATCTGATCGTGGAAACTAAGCAGGGTCAAACCAGATTGAGACTTGGATGGTGGATCACCAATGAATAAAAGGTTCTGTAGGCTCTCTTTCAGAAGAAGGAACTGGCCAAACCACCTCTGAGACTTCCTTGCTCAAGAAAACCCTATGAAGTTCATGGGGTCACCACTAGAAGGCACTGGATCCATCTGATCTTGGAAACTAAGCAGGATCAGACCTGGTTAAGATTTGGAAAGGGAACCACCAATGAATACAAGGTTTTGTAGGCTCTATTTCAGAGGAAGGAACTAGCCAAACAAATCCTGAATGTTCATGACTTAAGAAAATCATATGACAGAGTGTATTCCTCCCAATGAGGAGCGTAATGCATGCTGTCTTACCAGGAGGATGCTCTCCCAGGCCATCCAGCGAATTGGCAGCACAGCCCTGCCTTGGATCCTATAGTAATCCCCGCTGTACAGGTTCCGGCTCATGCCGAAATCGGCAATTTTGATGGTGTAGTTGTTCCCAACCAGGCAGTTGCGAGTGGCCAAGTCGCGGTGGACAAAGTTGAGGGACGCCAAGTATTTCATGCCGGATGCAATCTGAGTCGCCATGAGCAGGAGGTGGAGGCAGCTGGGGGACAGAAACAACCAAGACAAAGGTAGGACCTCCTCGGTTATTCCAAATTGTGATGGATTTTCAGCAGACCGGGCAGGACTGGAGCAACTCCCGGACCTTCTCCTAATAGCTTGATTTCATCCATCAGAAGTTCTCTTCCTATTTTCCTCCATGATATATCTCCTTGCATGAGCCTAAATACCCTCAAGGTACTAGATTCCCATCTCATCTTGGAAACTTAGTACTTGGATGGGAGACCACCAAAAATACCAGATGTTGTAAGCAATATTTCAGAGGAAACAACTGGAAAAACCATCCTGAGTATTTCTCATTGAAGAAAAGACCTAAGAAATTCATGAGGTACCAGATTTCATCTGATCTTTGAACCAAATAAGGGTCAACTCTGGTTAGTACTTGGATGGGATGCCACCAAGGAGTACCAGGTGCTGTAGGGTAGATTCCAAGGCATCCCAACTCATGGAGATTCCCAAAGTAAGACAACCCTATGGGATTGCCATAAGTGTGTACTTGACTTAAAGACACAATATTCCATCTCATCTTGGAATCTAAGGAGGGTCAGCCCTGGGTAGGAGATTGCAAAGGAATACCACATGTTACAGACTCTATTTCAGAGGAAGGATCTGGCAAAACCACCTCTGAGTCTTCCTGGCCTAGAAAAACCCATAAAATGTATGAGCTCACCATAGACAACTTGAAGACACGTCTACACACAAATCAGCTTTTCACTAACCTGTAGCTTCTATAACTTATTTGGCCTTGCCCTCAACATTTCCCTTCTTTACCTCACGCAAGGAATGTTGTTGGAGAGGGTGAAGGTACTTCTACTCTGCCGTTGCAACAAGAACTGGTGAAGATCCCCGTTTTCCATGTATTCGGTGATCATGCACAGCGGATCGTCCCGCACGCAGACTCCCAGGAGCCGGATGATGTTTGGATCCTTCAGGCGAGACATGATCTTGATCTCCTTTAGGAAGTCATTCCTAGGAAGTGGAGAGAGAGGTCAGTAGAGATGGGCTCTCACTGAATGAAAGAATGTGGAAAACGTTGCCTCTTTCATGTCAGATAATGGCAACAGTTGAAGCTCACCTGGCTGTCTTGGTGACGTTGGCTCTCAGCATTTTGACGGCAACTAGGACCGGCCGGCTGGACGCATCCGAAGAAGAGCGTCCAAGAAATTCTAGGAGACCATCGGCTTCACATAAATGGACCTACAAGGAGAAGGTTTTATCAAAAGTATTCAAGACATATTTGGTGTAGTTGGCAGGATTTCTGACAGCGAAGACAGAGTGTGACACATGGGCGTAAAGGGGTATATCTAGGAAATGGGTAGACCTACCTCCCCAAATTGCCCTTCTCCTAGTTTCTCCTTGAGTCGCAGCTGCTGCCTGGGGAATTCGGCTACTGAGATATCCTTCTTGATCAATGAATCAACTGTAATGGCAGGTACTGCATATGTATTATTGCCGGTCACTCCTTGTAGGCTGACGATATCTGTCTCGGCATAATGTGGAACGTTATTCTGGAATCCTTGGTGAGGGGTACATTTGGTGAGGTCCGGCTCAGCATAATCGCCGCTACAAGCTGGAAAAAAATGACAAGCAAGAACATGGGTCAACTTATCCATGGGTCAATATAAATACCTAACCTCTCCTTGAGTTGAGTGGCAAAATTCAAGAGCTTAGTCCAGTATTTCTCAGCCTGGTGGTTGGGAACCCTGGAAGGGGGGGGGGGGTCGCAAGGGGGGTGTCAGAGGGGTCGCCAAAGATCATCACAAAACACAGTGTTTTCTGTACTTCACAGYGGTTCTGTGTGGTTTGGCCCAATTCTATCTTTGATGGGATTCAGAATGCTCTTTGATTGTAGGTGAACWATAAATCCCAGCAACTYCAACTCCCAAATGTCAAGGTCTATTCTCCCCAAACTCCATCAGTGTTCAAATTTGGGCATATTGAGTATTCGTGCAAAGTTTGGTCCAGATCCATCATTGTTTGAGTCCACAATGCTCTCTAGATGTAGGTAAACTACAACTCCCAAACTCAAGGTCAATGCCCACCAAACCCTTCCAGTATTTTCTGTTGGTCATGGGAGTTCTTCGTGCCAAGTTTGGTTCAATTCAATCGCTGGTGGAGTTCAGAACGTTCTTTGATTGGAAGTGAACTATAAATCCCAGAAACTACAACTCCCAAATGACAAAATCAGCCTCCCTCCTGCAACTCCACCAGTATTCAGATTTGGGCGTATTGGGTATTTGTGCCAAATTTGGTCCAGTGATTATGATTCATAACAGTAGCAAAATTACAGATGTGAAGTAACAATGAAAATAATGTTATGGTTGGGGGTCACCCCAACATGAGGAACTATATTAGGATGATTGAGAAATACTGGCTTAGTCCATCCCAGGAGAACCTAAAAGAAGCACCAGTCACCTTTATTGTGTCTGCCATGTTGCTGTTTCTGACTTTTTTTTTAATGTCTGGGTGAGAAAATGATGTCCCAAAGTGTCTGGACCCTGATCTGGCATTGGTGCTTTGCTCTTTCCACAGAATGACCCAACGACTTGCCAACAGGTCATAATTTTGGCCCCCAAACCTACCTGAGTCTTCGGCACTTTGGGATAATTCGGGCAGTTTCTGGAGGAGGGTGATGGGCTGGTGGTACTCCAGATCCAATGGGAAGACCCTCTCATAGGTAGGGTTGGTTTGATGGATCTGCGTCTGGCCGCCGACCATCCTGGAGCTGTAGAAGGACAACCGGACGGTGGCGTCCTCTTCCAGGATCCGTCGGGGAGCCTTGAAGAAGCGAGATAAGAAAGTTGTTCAGGGCCTTCGGAAGAGCACTCACACCTATCCCAGAAAGGAGACTTTGGGTGCATCTATACTGTTGGATTAATGCAGTTTGATGCCATGTGAACTGCCATGGCTCAATACTAGATGCGCCCTAACCCTTCAGAAAGGGGGAAACCTGACAATCTGGAGAAAGGCTCAATGATAGTAGGATACAGGAAGAGGGAAGCAGGACGCACGATACCGTCTCCAGCCGTTTCTGGGCATACTGCCTCCACAAGATGGCCACAATGATGACGAGGAGGACAAGGATGATGGCCACAAGGCAACCGACAAGGCTGGAGGTGCTGGAAGCCTCTAAATTGGGCTCAGTCCAGGGATTGGTGCCGTATCTCGTAGTGGTCTCTGCAAAGACAGGTAGGTGGTCAGTCCATGATGGGGTTTACAGTAGCAGGCTTTGTTGTGGTCCTTCTAGGCGCTCAACAGCACCAATACTTGGACTTCTGTCCTGGAGTCCAATCGTTTTGACCCTGGACTTTTGTCCTGAGGTCCATTCCATACATTCTTACCCCAGGTCCCATCTGTAGCATTCATTTCTTCAGATGGAAAGATTGCTGAGGTTGTGCTTGATGCCAGAGTGACCACAATGGGGTCAAAGACATCCACGTACACTAGAGAAAAGAGGAGACCAAAAGAGAGTCTCAGGATCAGGTTGAGGATTGGACCATAAATATCCCTACTTTCCACTCAAATTTCAACTCCTAATACTGTTGGCCCTATCCAACACAATACAGTCAAGCCTCCATATTTGTTAAGGTTAGGGACACAGGACTGCTGTGAAAGTGGAACAACTGTCAGTGAGATCTTTACCCGATTGGAAGGAGACTTCGCTGATCAACATCCACGTGTCGGCAAAGTAGAACTGGCACAGGATGGCTTTGCCGACCCGATGACCGAGGGGGACGGTCACAAACCGTGCGCTGGGGTTCTTGTCGTCCAGAACGGTATCTGCTCCCACAGGCTCAGCCTCCCACTCCGCAAAGAGCTGTGGCTTGAAGAAGCACTCCACCCGCTCAAAGATCTTCACGCCTTTGGAGAACATGTTATTGCAGTGGACCTGGAGTTTGGAGAAGGGGGATTGCATCAGGATGGCATATTTAGTGGTGGAAAGCATTCATAAACAATGGTTTTGGGCATGGGACCAACGAGTAGTGGAATGCATGCATGTTCAATGGTTACTGAGTATCAGAGTGACCATCAAGTCCTATCTTCATGAAGGTGAAATTCTCTGCCAGTTAAACCAGTGATAGAAAGCATGCATGTCCAATGGTTGCTAAGCATCAGAATGACCATCAAGGAAGTCCTACCTTCATGACGGTAAACTTCCTCTGATAGTCAAACCAGTGGCTGAAAACATGCAAGCCCAACGGTTGCCGAGCATCAGAATGACCATAAAAAAAATCCTACTTTCATGAAGGCAAAGTTCCTCTGCTGGTCAAACCAATGATGGAAAGCATGCATCTCCAATGGTTACTGAGCATCAAAACGAGTATCAAGTCCTATCTTCATGAAGGTTACATTCTCTGCTGGTTAAACCAGGTATGGAAAGCATGGATGTCCAATGGTTGCTGAGCATCAGAATGACCACCAAGGAAGTCCTAACTTCATGAAGGTAAGCTTCCTCTGACAGTCAAACTAGTGTCTGAAAACATGCAAGCCCAATGGTTGCCGAGCATCAGAATAACCATCAAGAAAGACCTCCTTTCATGAAGGTGAAGTTCCTCTGCTGGTCAAACTGATGGTGCAAAGCATGCATCACCTCCAATGGTTACCAAGCATCAGAATGAGCTATCTTCACAAAGCATCAGAAATTCCTCTGCTCGTCAAACCGTGCAAAGCATACATCTCAATGGTTACTGAGCATCAGAATAAGCATCAAGTCCTATCTTCATGGAGGTTAAGTCCTCTGCCTCTTAAACCAGGTATGGAAAGCATACATGCCCAAAAGTTGCTGAGCATCAATGGCCATCAAGAAAGTTCTACCTTCATGAAGGTGAAGTTCCTCTGCCGGTCAAACTGGAACTCCAACCCAATGGCGCCATTCCGGAAGCTGTTGTTCCTCCATCCCACGTAGTCGTAGCCTGGCCACACTCGGTATTGGTGGCTCTTGGTGAAATCATCTAACCCCAAGATGCCATCAGTCAGCTGGCCTAAGCCGCCATGGAGAGACCTAACAAGAAAGTAATTTTGATTACGCTGCCATCCCAAGTGAAAGAAATGTCTTTTGGATAGAAATCTGGAGATCAAGGAGGGAATAGAAATGACCAACCTGGAATGTTGGTCTCCTCTTACCTGCGTTCTTGGAAACCATCATAGATTGAATCATTCAGGTAAACGATGGGATGGCCTGGGGCTGCCATGACCTCACCTTCTGGCATGCTGTAGGCCTCCAAACCATCTAGGAAAGGAGATAGTTGAAGGTCAATGTGAGGAACCCCATCTCTGATCAATCTACAAGACTTCTTCCCATTTCTTCCCTCCACCTTCAGACCAAATACAGCACAATTCTACGGTCAAGTTTCTGCTGGAAACCGTGAAGTAGTGCTAGAGGACCCTGGAGATTTCCAGATTCTGTTAGGAATCTCCCAGCCCTCCAGCAAAATTCTATGGTCAGGGCCTGCTGGAAGCTGGCCATGGAGTTGCCCTGGAGGATCTGGAGATTCCTAGAGATAACATTTTAATCAAATCCTTACCAGACCAAATGCAGCCATACAATTCTACTCGCATGCAGACAGTCATGGGCTGCTCAGTGACCGGGATCACTCGGATGTAGCGGGCAATGATAGGCGGGCGAAGATCTTTGAGGACCACAACATATGTGTCAATGTTGCCCTGAATAACCTGGAATGGTGAAGACATTGTAGTGACTTTTCATGGACTACCATGGCCAATGGGTGGGGAAAGCTTAGAGTCCAATGGCCAAAGGGTTGCAATACAATAGCCAAAGGAGTGGAGTGTGATGGCCAATGGGCTGGAGTACTATGGCCAAAGGGTTGGAGTACAATAGCCAAAAGATAGGAGTATGGTGGCCAATAGGTTGGAGTATGATGGCCAAAGGGTTGCAGTACAATAGCCAAAAGATTGGAGTGTGGTGGCCAATAGGTTGGAGTATGATGGCCAATGGGCTAGAGTCCAATGGCCAAAGGGTTGCAGTACAATAGCCAAAAGATTGGAGTATGGTGGCCAATAGGTTGGAGTATGATGGCCAATGGGCTAGAGTCCAATGGCCAAAGGGTTGCAGTACAATAGACAAAAGATTGGAGTATGGTGGCCAATGGGTTGGAGTATGATGGCCAAAGGGCTAGAGTCCAATGGCCAAAGGGTTGCAGTACAATAGCCAAAATATTGGAGTATGGTGGCCACTAGGTTAGGGTATGATGGCCAATGGGCTAGAGTCCAATGGCCAAAGGGTTGCAGTACAATAGCCAAAAGATTGGAGTATGGTGGCCAATAGGTTGGAGAATGATGGCCAATGGGCTAGAGTACAATGGCCAAAGGGTTGGAGTATGATGACCAATGGGTTGGAATATGATGGCCAATGGGCTAGAGTCCAATGGCCAAAGGGTTGCAGTACAATAGCCAAAATATTGGAGTATGGTGGCCACTAGGTTGGGGTATGATGGCCAATGGGCTAGAGTCCAATGGCCAAAGGGTTGCAGTACAATAGACAAAAGATTGGAGTATGGCAGCCAATAGGTTGCAGTATGATGGCCAATGGGCTACAATACAATGGCCAAAGGGTTGCAGTACAATATCCAAAAGATTGGAGTATGGTGGCCACTAAGTTGGGGTATGATGGCCAATGGGCTACAGTACAATGGCCAAAGGTTGGAGTATAATGGCCAATGGCCTACAGTACAATGGCCAAAGGGTTGCAGTATGGTGTTGAAAGGATTGGATTACAATGGTCAAAGCATTGGAATGTAATAGCCAAAGGATTGGGCTTTCCCTCCTTATTATCAGTCTAGATAAAGGTGTCTAGAAGCATCAGGTTAGCAACACGTTGGCAAAGGTCTTCTCACCCACCTGCCTGTTCTGTCGGTCCCTCCAAGAGAGCCAGCGCTCCCCGTTGCGGCTGTAGTCGATGCGATAGGCACGGGCAAACTCCTTGCCAGTGGCCCTAGCGTGCCGCCCTTGGGTCCCCACCAGCGTGATGAAGTAGAGTTTGTGGAGATCAATCTGGAGGAACTGGACGTCTTCTGGCTGCAGGAGACCAGCTGGACACCAAGCCCCATCGCCTTCCTCTCGCTGCAGCCTGTCAGAGAAAAAGAGAGAAAATGGGATTGAGGAAACATGTCTCAGCAAATACAGCTGACCCTCCACATTTGCCAAATTTGATGACCTCCCCATCGCTGGGCTTGAAAGGTATGTCCAAAAGTTGCATTGCTCACCGTGCATATTGAGGTCCTGTAGAATCGTACCACTGGCTGGAAGCGGTGATATCTTCATCCCGAATGGTCCCTTCATGCATCCCCAAAGGATAACGACATATTTCTGAGGAAGAGGGTGGAACAAGAGTTACATCAACATCAAGACAAAGGTCAGATCATGCAATTGCTCTCTGGACAGATGGCCATTCAGGCTCTCCTTAAAACCCTCCACCACATTGAATGCACACTGTCCCATCTGGAATACTTGGATAAACATAATGAGATATCTTGGAGATGGGACCCAAGTCTAAATGATGACATGGACTATGGAAGATTGGCATCATCTACATTGTGAGGTATCATAGAGATGAGATCCCAAGCTATACATGAAATCCATAGATTGTGAAATCCTTGCATGTATATTATATCTTGAGATGGGACCCAAGTCTTAATACAAAATTCATGGATTTGGAAAACTTGTATGAACACAGTGAGATATCTAAGAGATGGACTGAATCTAAGCATGAAACTAATAGATTATGAAAGATTTGCATAGATGGATGGAGGGACAGATAGATTGATAGATAGCTCTATCTGTCTGTTTGTCTGTCTGTCTGTCTATTCCTCCATCCATCCATCCATCCATCCATTCACTGACATATATCCATCAATCAATCTACTGAGATATCTTTCTATCCATCAATCCATCCATCCATCCACTGAGACATCTATCTATCTATCTATCTATCTATCTATCTATCTATCTATCTATCTATCTATCCATCCATCCATCCATCCATCCATCCATCCATCCATCCACTGAGACATCTATCTATTTATCCATCCATCAATCAATCTACTGAGATATCTCTCTATCCATCAATCCATCCACTGACACATCTATCTATCTATCTATCTATCTATCTATCTATCTATCTATCTATCCATCCATCCATTAATCTACGGAGACATCTATCTATTTATCCATCCATCCGTCCGTCCATCCATCCATCAATCTACTGAGATATCTATCTATTTATCTATCCACCCATCCATCAATCTACTGAGACATCTATCAAACAAACAATCAATCATCTATCTATCCATCCATCCATTAACTGAGACATCTATCTGTCTATCTATCCATCCATCCATCCATCCATCCATCCATCCATCCATCCACCCATCCATCCACTGAGACATCTATCTATTCATCCATCCATCCATCCATCCATCAATCTACTGAGATATCTATCTATTTATTTATCTATCCACGCACCCATCAATCTACTGAGACATCTATCTATCAATCAAACAATCAATAATCTATCAATCCATCCAACTACTGAGACATCTATCAATCTATCTATCTATCTATCTATCTATCATCTATCATCTATCTATTCATCCATCCTTCCATCAATCTACTGATACACACACATCTATCTATCTATCTATCTATCTATCTATCTATCTATCTATCTATTCATTCACCCATCTACTGAGACACCTATATATCTATCTATCCACATCTATCCATCTATCTACCTCCCAATAGGAGTATGGTGTTGATAGTGAGCAAAGTCATAGTCCTATTTTATTCTGCTTTGGTAAGACCTAAACTGGAATATTGTGTCCAGTTCTGGGCACACAACTGACAAGCCAAACATGAGCCTACAGTGTGATGCAGCAGCTTAAAATGCCAATACGATTCTAGGCTGTATCAATAGAAGTTTAAAGCAAAAGTATCACAATGGGATGGGAATGCTTTAAAAGACAACTGAACGCAACTTCCTACCTGGGTTGACTTCAGAGCCAGAACAATGGGAGAGGCCAGCCAGCAAAAGGATTGGCAAGCACAGCATCCTTGGCGTTTCCCACTTTAGCCAGGATGTCCGTCACTGCCATTCACATTTCTGAGAAAGAGAAAAAGAATTTGTGGTGCTGGGTAAGTCAAGCTATGTATCCATGCCTTTGCTTTTTCAACAAATGGTGGTCTATCTGATATTCACAGCAAAGAGTTTATGGCAGCGGGGCCTTTTTGGTGGAAGCACCTTGATATGAAACTCTGCTTGCATCGACATGATAGAATGCATGCAGCTTGACATCACTCTAACTGCTATAGAATCCTGGGAGTTGTCGTTTGGTAAGGCACCACCATTATTCGGCAGAGATGAACCAACCTGGAGACAGCATATTATTTCAGAACACAGAAATGCTGGACCACTCCGACAACCACCATGTCAGACAACACAGAGAAGCCACTGAAATCCACAAGAAGCATGTGAACAATTTCAACAGGGACGAGGAAATCATGAAAATCAACAAAATCCTGCTACCAGTATTTAAAAAACCCTCTAAAATCAGGACAGTAAATAAAGATGGCAAGGGCAAGATGGATGGATGGCATCCTTGAAGTGACTGGATTGACCTTGAGGGAGCTGGGGGTGATGACGGCCGATAAGGAGCTCTGGCGTGGGCTGGTCCATGAGGTCACGACTGAACGAATGAACAACAACAACAACAACAAATAAAGAACAACACTGAGAAAACCTGGGAATTCCAGATAGGAAACAATCAGGGCCAGCCAACACTTCCCAGCAAAGGGTTTCCCCAGGCAGGAAGCAGCCAGGCTTTGAAGCTTCAAGGCCATTCAATGCTAATCAAGATGGTGAATGGCAACTTTCACACTTGCCTCAAACAGACAAGAGTTCTTTCTCCCACCCTTGACATTATTCCACAGATATATAAACCTCACTTGCCCAGTTTCCAACTGACCTCACAACTTCTGGGGATGCCTGCCATAGATGTGGGTGAAACATCAGGAGAGAATGCTTCTGGAACATGGACACGCAGCCCAGAAAACTAACAACAACCTAATTATCGTTATCATTATCATTATTATTATTATTATTATTATTACCCAACCAGATCCAATCCTCCAACTTGGAAAAGCAGGAAAGCGTTAATGTTCTCTCAGCCCGGGGGCCCGGGGCGTCTCCCATTTGTAATTGCAAACAGCTGGCCAAATGTACATTAAAAATCATGTTGCAGCTATTGGACGGAGTTAAACATTACAAGTCGAAAAGAGGGAGGGGAGACCGAACAGCTGCCTTGAGCCTTGGCTGGAAAGAAAGAAAGAAAGAAAGGAAGGAAGGAAGAAAGGAAGAAAGAAAGAAAGAAAGAAAGAAAGAAAGAAAGAAAGAAAGAAAGAGGGAAGGAAGGAAGGAAGGAAGGAAGGGAAGGGAAGGGAAGGGAAGGGAAGGGAAGGGAAGGGAAGGGAAGGGAAGGGAAAAGGAAAGGAAAGGAAAGGAAAGGAAAGGAAAGGAAAGGAAAGGAAAGGAAGAACCAATTAGTTGCAGAACTTCTTCCTTCCGGCATCTGTCAGCCTTCTGCTCCCATCTCTTTGGGCGCATCTACACTGTTGAATTAATGCAGTTTGACACCACCACAGGAGTGTATCCCTCCATTAAAATGTCATGCAGTTTCTTTGGGTATCTTTTGACAGCTCTGCCAGCAGGCATTATGCCACCCTGGACATCTCCAGACTGAGAAAGACCTCCTTTCTTTCCCTCTCTCCCTTGCTACTCAGGTCTCCAAACTCTAGAAAAGTTGCAAAAGTGGGCACAGTAGTGTATGTCTCCATTAAAATGTGACACAGTTCCTTTGGATATCTTTTGACAGTTCTGTTGGCAGGCATTATGCCATCATGGGCATCTCCAAACTGAAAAAGACCTCCTTTCCTCTCTTTCCTTCCTTCCTCCATCCCTAGCTACTCAGGTCTCCAAACTCTAGAAAAGTTACAAGAGTGGACAAAGTAATGTATCCCTCCATAAAAATATCAAGCAGTTTCTTTGAGTATATTTTGACAACTCTGCCGGCAGGCATTATGCCATCCTGGACATCTCCAAACTGAGAAAGACCTCCTTTTCTCTCCTTTCTTTCTTTCTTTCTTTCTTTCCTTCCTGCAGCAGATGCCATCCTGGACATCTCTGAACAGAGAAATAACTAGGTTCTTGTGGGTTTTTTCGGGCTATAGGGCCATATTCTAGAGGCATTTCTCCTGACGTTTCGCCTGCATCTATGGCAAGCATCCTCAGAGGTGAGGTGAGAAATAACTCCTTCCCTTCCTTCCCTTCCTTCCTTCCTTCCTTCCTTCCT